TTTGAGATGGAGTTTTGCTCTTGTCACCCAGACTAGAGTGCAATGGCACAATCTTGGCTCACTGCAACCTCTGTCTCCCAAGTTGAAACAATTCTCCTGCCTCAGCCTCCCGAGCAGCTGGGATTACAGGCAGACGCCACCATGCCTGGCTAATATTTTTGTATTTTTTAGAAGAGATGGAGTTTCACCATGTTGGTCAGGCTGGTCTCAAACTCCTGACCTCAGGTGATCCACCTGCCTCGGCCTCCCAAAGTGCTGAGATTACAGGCGTGAGCCACCACCCGGCCCATTGGTCACCTTCTAACCTCAACCCTCTTCCCTTAGCATAAAAAGAAACCTAAAATTTATACTAACTTGAGATGGTTCTTTAGGACACTAGTCTGCCATCTTCTTGGTTTGCTGTGTCTCCAAATGAAGTTGCTTGCTTTTTTTTTTTTTTTTTTTGAGACGGTGTCACCCAGGCTGGAGTGCAATGGCACAGTCTCGGCTCACTGCAATCTCCACCTCCCAGGTTCAAGTGATTCTCCTGTCTTAGCCTCCTGAGTAGCTGGGACTACACCACACCCAGGTGTTGTTTTTTTTTTTTTGCTTTCGTATTTTTAGTAGAGACCAGGTTTCACCACGTTGGCCAGGCTGGTCTCAAACTCCTGACCTCAGGTGATCCACCCATCTCAGCCTCCTAAAGTGATGGGATTACAGGCGTGAGCCACTACACCCGGCCTCAAATGAAGTTGCTTTCTTTGCCCCAACATTTTTCTCTACTTACTGCCTGTTGTGCAGTGAATTATATGAGTTTGGACTCAGCTACGTATGGCTGGAGGTTTTGAGGGTCACTCTGGCCATCACTAGGATAAGAATGAAGCCAAAATAGAGAAAAGAAATGAGAGACAAGAGACAGCATTTGAGCCCCACCATCTAACTATGCCTGAAGTCCTTAACTTATATTTTTGTTTTGTTTTGTTGTTTATAGAGACAGAGTCTCACTATGTTGCCTAGGCTGGTCTTGAACTGCTGGGCTCAAGTGATCCTTCCTTGGCCTCTCAAAGTGCTGGGATTACAGGTGTGAGCCACTGCACCCGGCCCTGAAGTCCTGAACTTCTGTTACCTACATAAATAAATTCCCAGGCTGGGTATGGTGGCTCATGCCTGTAATCCCAGCACTTTGGCAGGGCAAGGCGAGCGGATCACCTGAGGTCAGGAGTTGGAGACCAGCCTGGCCAACGTGGTGAAACTCCATCTCTACTAAAAATACAAAAAATTATCCAGGTGCAGTGGTGTGTGCCTGTAGTCCCAGCTACTCAGGAGACTAAGGCAGGAGAATCTCTTGAACCCAGGAGACCAAGGTTACAGCAATCTGAGCCGAGATCACACCACTGCACTCCAGCCTGGGTGACAGAGAGAAACTCAGTCTTAAATCAATTAATTCCCATTTCTGTTTTAATGTCAGTGAGAGCTGGGCTCTCATTAGTGTGGCCTGGGCCAGTGAATTCCCCTCTTTGAGCCTGTTTCCTATGCTGTAAAGTGGGGCCGCATTGCTAGCAGTTTTGAGAATTACAGGAGCGTGGATCTGTGTGAAGGGTGCATTCTGGAGCCCCACACAGGGCTCCTGCATCTGTTCTTGAGTCTGATTCTGCCTCTACCTCTTGTCCCGATACCTTAAGCTCTGGGGAGACTGGACTATAAGCAATTTAGCCTGGTGTTGTGAAGACAGCGGGAAGAGGGATTTCACAGTCCTGAATCAGTGATGGCCCAGCCCAGGAGCCCGCTACATAGAATATTTGAATGAGCACCTCTAAGGATGCAAGTTAGGCCACAGCAGATGCCGACAGCAGCTCCACCCGTATCACGTGCACCTTCCTGTGCCTGCTTCTAGCTTCCTGTGGCATGCACCTGTGCTGCTTTGCCTGAGGGAGGGGCCTTCACAGGCCAGAGGGCTGGGAATACTAGGGTGTTAAAGTGTCCAGGAAAAGCCTTCAACAATGAGAGATGAGAGCTAGTATAGAAATGTGGGTCAGGCACGGTGGCTCACGCCTGTAATCCCAGCACTTTGGGAGGTCTAGGTGGTTCACCTCAGGTCAGGAGTTTGAGACCAGCCTGGTGAACATGGCGAAACCCCATCTCTACTAAAAATACAAAAACTAAGCTGGGCATGGTGGCTCATGCCTATAATCCCAGCACTTTGGGAAGCTGAGGTGGGTGGATCACCTGAGGTCAGGAGTTCAAGACCCACCAGACCAACTGGCAAAATCCTGTCTCTACTAAAAATACAAAAATTAGCCAGGCATGGTGGCACATTCCTGTAGTCCCAGCTACTTGGGAGGCTGAGGCCAGAGATTCGCTTGAAACCAGGAGGCAGAGGTTGCAGTGAGCCAAGATCAAGCTACTGCACTTCGGCCTGAGCAGCAGAACGAGACCCTGTGTCAAAAAAACAAAACAAACAAACAAACAAAAGCTAGCCTGGTATGGTGTTACACGCCTATAATCACAGCTACTCTGGAGTCTGAGGCAGGATAATTGCTTGAATCCTGGAAGCGGAGGTTGCAGTGAGCTGAGATTGCACCACTGCACTCCAACCTGGGCGACAGAGTAGGACTCTGTTGAAAAAAAAAAAAAAAGCCACTTCTTTGCCCCTAGGGTAGAACCAGTTTGAACTGTGTTCCACAATTTCCCAGAGCTCCCCAATGGCATGGCACCCCAGGTGCCCAGAGCAGCAACTAGTAACTCACCCAGTATTGGCTTTCTCCCTTCCTGAGCTTACATATTGGCTCCCCTGCCACACCTAAATAAAGAACTGGTATTTGACCCTTTGTGTCAGGGTCTGGAGCAGCCCCACCCAAGATGGGCTGATGCAGTTCTGTGTTCTGTGCTCATGGCAAACGGGTCTGTCCAGATATATCCAGGCCACATTCTGGATTCTGGGTATGCAAGCACCCAGTATCCTCACACTTCCTTTGACAGTGACCATTTATTACACACATCAGACTGGGGGAAGACCATTGACATAGCTGAGCACTAGGTAGGGTATCCGGGGCATTCGGGCGTGAAAGCAGCAGAGGCCTCCTGACACAGGCAGGAGAAACACGGCACCCACCAGGAGGAGGAAGAGGAGGAAAAGGATAAGGAGGAAGGTCAGGGGCCACCTGGATGCAGGATCGGGAGCCCTGTGAAGGGAAATGCAGTGTTAAACATACGAGTGGGCTGCCACACCCCAGTCCCATCTTCCAGGCATCTCACCCAGGATTCCCCTCCAGCCTCACATCCTGGAGTTGGGGAGATGCTTGCCTCTTCTTGTCCTAAGGAGGGACAGAAGCCAGCAGCAGAATGAATAGAAATGATACTTTTTTTTTTTTTTTTTTAGAAGGAGTCTCACTCTTGCCGCCCAGGCTGAACTCCAATGGCTCGATCTCAGCTCACTGCAACCTCTGCCTCCTGGGATCAAGCAATTCTCCTGCCTCAGCCTCCCAAGTAGCTGGGACTATAGGCGTTCACCACCACACCTGGCTCATTTTTGTTATTTTTTAGTAGAAATGGGGTTTCACCATGTTGGCCAGGCTGGTCTTGAACTCCTGACCTCAAGTGATCCGCCCACTTCTGCCTCCCAAAGTGCTGGGATTATAGGCGTGAGTCACCATGCTTGGCTGGCACATTATTTTTTGAGACTGGGTCTTGCTCTGTCACCCACGCTGGAGTGTGGTTTCACAGTCACGACTCATGGCAGCCTCAACCTCCTAGGCTCAGGCGATCCTCTCACCTCAGCCTTCCTAATAGCTGGGACCACAGACACATGCCACTGCAACCATTTACTTTAAAAAAAAAAAAAATGATTTGTAGAGATGGGGGGTGGGGCTGTGTTGCTCAGGCTGGTCTTGAACTCCTGACCTCAAGCAATCCTCCTGCCTCGGCCTCCCAAAGTGTTGGGATCACAGTTGTGAACCATGACATCCAGCCAGAAGTGACACTTCATATGGTCTTTTCTCTGCTAGTGTAAGACTGACAGGGCTGGTGTTATTTCTTCTCCTTTTCTGGCACCTCCTCATCCCCAGGACCCTGCATGGACTTGGAATATCTCCAAGTATAGTGGATATCTGGTTGTATCTGTCCTTCATCCAACACAATCCCCCTTTTTCTGATAGCAGTGGCTCAATTGGAGGTGGGCTGCTGTCATGCCGTCCACTCCTAGACCTTCAGGTTCAAGTGAAGCTGACACCTGCCTCCCCCACTTCCATGATTGGTATGACCCATACCTGGCCAATCCGAGCACTCTGGTTTATTCAAGGTGCAGCCTATGACCCCAGCCGGTAAGTGGGAGTCAGCCCTGGGACTTTGGCAGCTGTCAGTAGGGTCGGAGGCATGCTTCATCCCCTGGGTTGGGTGAACCAGTGGGAATGACTGTGTAGCCACTGGCGCACCTGTTTTGCTGAGAAGGAAGCCACCTTGGGGAATTAGAGCCCAAGAAAAGGAGGGACTGAGCCCTGGTGGTGTTTGAAGCTCTGAATTCAACAGCGCCTGGACCTTTCAGTTACATTTAAAAAAAAAAAAATGGCATCCTTTTTTTGTAACTTTCAACTTGTTGGGTTTCTGTCACTCACCATCAAGATTCCTGAGTGCTACACCTGGTTGAGACGCGGCTCACCTGAGGCTTTCGGAGCAGGGAGCGTCTTCGGTGACCTGCTAAGTGTTTCCAGTGGCTGAGGCTGGACTCCAGCATGTCCTGTCGGGAGTGAGAGGTGTGTGGTTCCTGGAGAACCAGCAACAAAGAGAAATGTGGTTGGGGGAGGGCTAGGATAGGGGGTGTCATAGAGATGAGATTCTGGGGGAACAGAGAGATCTCATGGGACAGACGGACAACGGCAGAGCCAAAGAAACCAAGAGAGGAGGGACATTATTTATTCATTCATTCAATAAATATGTAATGAGCGTCTGTTACAAGCCAGGAACTGTTCTAGGAGCTGGGGACACAGTGGGGATGGAAATAGGCAAATACCTGGCCTCCACGGAGCTTACATTTGACAGGAGAGAGACAGACCATAAATTAATGAGTAAATGAGGCCCAGTGTGGTGGCTCATGCCTGTAATCCCAGCACTTTGGGAGGCCGAGGCAGGCATGTCACTTGAGGTCAGGAGTTTGAGACCAACCTGGCCAACTTGGTAAAACCCTGTCTCTACTAAAAATAGAAAAATTAGCCGGGCGTGGTGGTGCACACCTGTAATCCCAGCTACTTTGGAGGCTGAGGCAGGAGAATTGCTTGAACCAGGGAGGTGGAGGTTGCAGTGAGCAGAGAGCGCACCACTGCACTCCAGCCTGGGCGACAGAGTGAGACTTTGTCTCAAAAAAATGAAATAAGTAAATGTACAAAGTCAAGCTGTGGTGAGTGCTGTTAGGGAATAAAGAAGATCAGAGTGCTCATGTTTGGAGGTAAGGACAGGCCTCTCTGAAGAGGTGGAGAGACTGGGACAGTCAGGAGGTGAGCGGGGCATCATCTGGGGGCTTCGGGATGGGAGTGAATTTGAGATGGAGCTTGAGGATGTAGACAGAGACAGACAGGAGAGAGAGAAACAGTGAGATAGAAGGAGACACCAAGAGACAGAGCCACTCACACCTCCTTGGAAGGGAAGAACCCTGCTAGAAGGTACACAGACATGTCCTCAGGGTGTCTGGCATGAGGTCCCTCCAGGGGGTCTGCTCTCACCTCAAGGCCTTGTACCCTGCCCTGGGGGCCTCTGTGGCCACACAGCTCACAGGGCGCTCCTAGTATCCGGGCAGTCTTTTGTCCTGAGGGCCCAAGGCCCCCAATGTCCCCCGCCGGATCCCACTCCAATTCTGCAGAAGTGGGAAGGCTACTGGGTGCCCAGGGCCCCCACACACCACCAGGTCCTGGCCAGTCCGAGTCTCCCTCGATCTCCAAGTCCTGGTTCAGTGTGTCGGCCTCTTCAAACACCTGGGTCAGAGGACAGAGGTCATGGGGGCTATGAGGTTGGGGCCTGTTGGGTGGGGAGTATCGGAATGGGCCCTACCAGGCTGTAGCTGACCAGCTGGGCTTGCAGCTGCCAGAGCCTCCGGAAGATGGTGTCTCGGTGAGCTCCCAGGGCCCGCAGGATCTGCTCCAGGGCTTCCCAGGCCCTCGGCTCACTCCGCTGTGCCAGCCCCTCACCAAACGTTATCAGCGCCTCCACACGCTCAGCTGCCCCTCGTAGGTCCGCCTGGAGGGCCTGGGGACACATGGTTGGACCTCACTCCACATGCACACCAGGGACACCAGGAACCCACAACCTGGAGTTACCTCCTCCCCCATTTCCTATCCACAGGCCTGGAACAGGCACTCACCCCGTTTCCCACCCCAGAAAGCTGGCTGTCACTCACTGCTGGGGCCCTGCTCACCCCCACATCCTGGCCTCCCCTGCCTACCCGCAGCTGCACCATCCCGCTCTGGGCCAACGCCCAGCGCCCTGGGCCTTGCTCCAGGTCCTGCAGCCAGAGGCCCAGCCCCAGCAGGGACAGGTGTAGGCTGTCCTGCTCAGCCTCCAGTACCTCCAGGCCAGAAGCAGGGTGCTGGGGAAACATAGGAGCCAAGTCAGGGCCAGTGGGCCAATCAAGATATCACCCCTGCCCCCTTCCTCACCCCTCTTCTGTAAGCTTCTGGAAACCTCTCTGCAGCAGAGTCCACCTCCAGGTCTGTCTGCACCAGGGTCGCTCCTACTGGGGGGGGCCTTCCAGGTTTTCAAGCCTCCTGGAAACTTGGATGTGTGAGGCCCAATGCGGGGGCTCAGGGCAGGAATGGGGTGATGGGGCTGGGTACCACCTTAGAAGAATGGGACTACACCAGGAGCTCTGATGATATGCTTCTCAGCCAGATGTGATGGCTCACACATATAATCCCAGAACTTTGGGAGGCCAAGGCCAGAAGATGGCTTGAGCCCAGGAATTCAAGACCAGCCTGGGTAACATAGTGAAACCTCGTCTCTCTCTCTCTCTCTCTCTTTTTTTTTTTTTTTTAATAAAAAAGAAATACAGCTGGGTATCGTGGCTCATGCCTGTAATCCCAGCACTTTGGGAGGCTGGGGCGGGTGGATCACCAGGGAGTTCAAGACTAGCCTGGCTAACATGGTGAAACCCCGTCTCTACTAAAAATACAAAAATTAGCCAGGTGTGGTGGCACACGCCTGTAATCCCAGCTGCTTGGGAGGCTGAGACAGGAGAAATCACTGGGACCTGGGAGGGGGAGGTTGCAATGAGCTGAGATCACACCACTGTACTCCAGCCTGGGTGACAGAATGAGACTCAGTCTCAAAAAAAAAAGAAAAGAAACACTTCTCTACTGATTGGTAAAGAAACATTTCCCCTGTAATCCCAGCACTTTGGGAGGCCAAGCCTGGCAGATTACAAGGTCAAGAGATTGAGATCATCCTGGCCAACATGGTGAAACCCATCTTTACTAAAAATATAAAAATTAGCTGGGCGTGGTGGCTTGCGCCTGTAGTCCCAGCTACCCAGGAGGCTGAGGCAGGAGAATGACTTGAACCTGAGAGACCGAGGTTGCGGTGAGCCGAGATTACGCCACTGCACTCCAGCCTGGCAACAAAGCGAGACTCCATCTCAAAAAAAAAGAAAGAAGGAAACATTTTCCAGAGGGTTCCTCCCCCTACAGACATCCAACACCTTTCTAGAATCATCACCCAGTCCTCAGGGTGGAGGCTGGACTCAGGGGGATGGAGAGGAGGTGGGGCTGGCACAAGGGGTCTGGGTCACCTCAGCTCACCTCACAATGTCTGCCCCCAGCTGGGTCCTCATGGGAAGAGGGTGTTGACCATCTTGGGGGGCGAGCGGCGGGCTCATTACCCCTTGGCCCACCCTGGAAGTGCTCAGGAGGGCCCAAGGCGTCCTGTCCCAGGGTCTGGGCCTGCTCTGGGCTGGGAGGCAGGGGGTGGGACTGGGTGAGTCTCAGACACCTCACTTTCCAGCCCACCCTCACCCAAACCCCAGCAGCCTCTCCTATGTCCCCAGGTGATCACAGCCATGGCGCCTCTTACCCTCACATGGTCCCTGTCCCCGTGCCCACCTTCTTGGAACAAGCTTCCAAAAAGCCCCAGCCCCACCTGGTGCTCTCCTCTCCGGATGCAGGGCAGACCGTGCGTCCAACAAAGTCCGGCTCCCTAGGGGCTCCCGGGGGGTGGCTGAGGGGCTCTGAGCCAAGTCCAGTGCCCAGAGGCAGGGATAGAGCCATGGCTGGGGGCCTGGGGACACAGAGTCAGGTGAGGGCAGCCAGTAAGACCGCTTCCTTCAACAAGAGTATCCCAGAGCTCCTCCGCTGGAGTCATCGGAGTCACCGGGGCCTGAGGCTGCAGGAGAGGCCCAGGACAGGCCTGGCTCCGCCCCTTCCAAGAGGAACCTGGACCAGGCCATTTGATGCCCGGCTCAGGTGACAGAAGAGCCACTTAACTCCTTACTGCCTAGCAGGCCAGTAGCTAAACCTCCCAGCATCACTCTGCCATCCAAGGGGGTCCCAGATAGAACCACTCCCCCACCTCCCCAAGAGCCTTGGATTCTGCCCCACTGGGGACCCAGACATCTGATCTCCAGGGCCTATTCCATTCATTTAAGACCCTACATGCGGCGCCCCTCAGGAACCCAAGCACCTGCCCCCCCACAAAAAAAAAAAAAATTTAAAACCAACGAAAGATTTTTTATTTGGTATAGGGTCTTCTGTGGCTCCCACAAAATTATTAGGAAAATAAATAACCCAAGGGAGCCCCCCTCTGCCCAAGAGGGTTCCAAGGTCGCAGAGTCATAGCAGCCCCAAGCGGGCAGGAGCCGGGGGATCCAAGGGGTCCCGGCCGTGGCGGTCACTTGCCCAGCAGGAGGCCGGCCCGCAACACGCGGGGCACGCGGCGGATGGTCAGCGAGACCCGGGTACCGCGCACCAGGCAGGCTCCGGGCCGCGCCGACGGGCAGGCGGCCGCGTTGGGCGGTGGGGAGGCGGCATCCAGCGCGTCTACGCAGGCGGCAGCGATCCCGTGGAGGAGGCGCGTGTAGGCAGGGCCGCGGAGCACCAGCAGGCTGCGCGGTTCCAGTAGCAGCGAGGTGGTGGGCCGGGGCGGGGCCCAGGGCTGCAGGGCGGGTTGAGGGTCAGCGGGGCTCAAGAAGTCTGGGGAAGGGGTGGGCGAGAAGTCGGCAGGCTTTGGGGAGCAGCGGGTCCCCAGGGACATAGGCTGAAGAGCAAGTGTGCTCACAGTGATGGAGGCTCTGGTGGTGCAGGAGTGAAAACTGCTGCGGCCTGGGCTGGGGCTGCTGGGAAGGGAGGGTGAGGGCTCTACAGTCCCTCGAGAGGGGGCAGGATCTAGGCTGCAGATGGGGGCGTCAGAGGGTCAGCTGATGGTGGGAGCTGCCTATGGGATCTCCAAGGGGCTGGGACCCAGAGATCAGCAGTCCCCAGGAAATGCAGACAGACCTGGGCTGAGAGAGCATGGCTGAAGCCAGGACGAGGTGAGAACAGAGTGAGGCAGAGCTTAGAGGCAGTGCGGGTCCCCAAAGACATCAGGTCATTAGAGGACAACCGCACAGCTGAGAGGGTGTCACAGCATCCAGGAGCACGCAGGGCTCCAGGGCAAGCCCCAAAGAGTCAGGGTGTTCAGGGGCGTTTCTGTGAACACTAGGGTGCTGGAAATGCATCACTCAGAGAAATCATGTCAAGGGGCCAAGGAGAATCTGGGGGTGTCCTGTACCCCAAGTCACATTCCTAGAGTAGCAGGATGTCTAGGGCACCCTGAGCAAGGCAGATGGGGCATCTGGGAGGACGTGAGGCCTCCTTGGGTAAACGGTGGTGGGGTATCTGAGGATATTAGTGTCTGCTGGGGAGTCAGAGGCATCTGACCAGCAGGTTGTGGCATCGGGGAGCCTGTGGAAATCATGGTGTGTAGGGCACCCTGGAAGTAGATGGGCTGGGCATCTGGGAGAAAGTGGGTACACTCCATGAGGGGACAAGGGAAGGTATCTGGAAGAGTGCCAGGAATACCCCAAAGGCACATGGGACCAGGTCATCTTGGAGGATGTGTGAGGTTGAAGTGTCTGCAAGAGCTGGGGGCAGTGTCTGGGGGCCCACCTGTTCCATAGGGTCATCATCCTCCAGCCGCCGTGGCTCGTAGAAGTCCAGCATGGTGTGGGAACCAAGGCTGATGGTGCTGACAGTCGGGTAGTACAGTGGTCCGTCCTCGTGGGGCTGGGGAGTGGGCACCAGGGCTGGGCAGGGCAGGAGTCCACACCCCCCACCCTCTAGGTCAAAAGGGAGCTCCCAACCCAGGGACAGGGAGGTGAATGCCTACTTGGGAGATGTGGCTGCCTAATGAGTGAGGGTGGGTACAGGGTCCCCTGCCCGAGGATGGCTTAGAAATCTGGGTGGGAGGACATGGGCCAAGTGTGTGTGGTTACCATGATGCCCTCTCCAGGTAGATACTGGTTCACGAGTACATGGTTAGCTGGGAAGCCTCCAAAGAGGCTGAGGTCAGATACTTTGTCCACATAGCGCTGGAGCCATGGAGGCAGCCGCTCAGGAACCATTCCCCGGGGATGGGGAAGCCCACCTGGAGAAGGCAATGGAGTTCTAAGGGTTCCCCATAGCACACAGATAACTCATTAGGGATTCCACAGTGGCTGGAAGCACCCTGACACCCTCAGGGACCTCTCTTTGGAGATAGCCACTGGGCCCTTCAGAGATCTCCTAACTTCTCCAGACCATGGGCCCCTTTCATATACTCCCAACTCATCAGGATTTCCCAAACCCCTCAGGACCTCCACTGACCCCTTTGGAATCCTCCTGGCTCTTGGGGCCCCCTGAGCCATCAGGAACCCTCTGATGTCTTGAGGCTATTGGACCTGAGTCCCTTGCCCCAGCCTACATCCCAGAATCACTCATGCCCAGCCAGGGACACTTACCCCAGTTCTGTAACTTTCTCCCAGACAGCTGGGTCCACTTTGGCTTTGGGGCATTAAAAACCTAGGAGGTGGAAAAGGGGTCACTCCTTTCTCAGGATCACCCCTCTAAGATTCTCCCACCCAGGCCAACATAAGGGCCTTTACCTCTAGGGTAGAAATGGGTCATCCCAGTGTCTGTGGGACCATTCCCTGGGGCAGTGGGTTCCTAGGATCTTGTGTTTTGCTTTCTTTCCTCGGAACACTTTTGGCCCCAAAGCCCACCCATGTCTACCAGGATTTAAGAATCAGGGCTGCACAACCATGGTCTAAGAGTTCTGGGGCTGCACAGGGCTCTTTCAGCCCAGCATAGTCAGCATTCTAATTTCCTGATTCCTCGCCCAGTGGCTCAGGCCTGTAATCCCAGCACTCTGGGAGGCTGAGGCGGATCACTTGAGGTCAGGAGTTTGAGACCTGTCTGGCCAACATGGGGAAACTCCATCTCTACTAAAAATACAAAACTTAGCTGGGCGTGGTGGCGCACACCTGTGACCCCAGCTACTTGGGAGGCTGAGGCAGAATTGCTCGAACCTGGGAGGCGGTGGTTGCAGTGAGCTGAGATCGTGCCACTGTATTCCAGCCTGGGTAACAGACCGAGACTCCGTTTCAAAAAATAAAAATAAAAAATAAAAACAAAAATTAGCCATGTGGTGGTGTACGCCTGCAATCCAAGCTACTCGGGAGACTGAGACACCAGAATCTCTTGAACCCAGGAGGTGGCAGCTGCAGTGAGCTGAGATCACACCACTGTACTCCAGCCTGGGTGACAAAGTGAGACTGTCTAAAAAAAAAAAAAAAAAAAAAAAAAAAATTCCTGATTCCTGGGCTCTCTGAGGACAGTTTGAGTTCTGCAACCTCCTTGTTCCTATTGCCTGGGGGAGGGACTGTGCAAAGCTAGGCTATCTCAGCACAGCAAAGATAGTACTTTGAAAATCTTCCACCGCCAAGATCCTAATGGTCTAGAATGGAATATCTCAGTCCAAAAAATCTATGCGCTTATTGATAATCTACGCATTCCCTTCATGGTTATGGGGCTGAACTGGGTTATTTCAGCCCAGGAATTCTCCAATACGTAGATTTTTGCCTTTTTTTTTTAAGACTTAGTCTCGCTCTTGTGCTCCAGGCTGGAGTACAATGGCGCAATCTTGGCTCACTGCAACCTCCGCCTCCGGGGTTCAAGCAGTCCTCCTGCCTCAGCCTCCCAAGTAGCTGGGATTACATGCCACCATGCCCTGCTAATTTTTGTGTTTTTAGTAGAGACAGGGTTTCACCATGATGGTCAGGCTGGTCTTTAACTCCTGACGTCAAGTGATCCGACGGCCTCGGCCTCCCAAAGTGCTGGGATTACAGGCGTGAGCCACCGCGCCCGGCCTATAACATGTAGATTTTTGTAAAAAGAAGTGCCTTGCATGGGTCCTTTAACCCTCACATTTATATAAACACTATTGGAGTTACCAAGTAAATTTAAAACCCAAGACCAAATAGCTGCAGGATTTCAGTCAATATTTTCGTAGGTGACAATTAATAAAAATGTAAATTAAATAAATTATATCTATTATGATCAGCAGCGGTTAATTAATTACACTATGGATGTGCTCAAAGGGATAGCAGAACAATTAAGCTAAGACATGTTAAGGAAGTTTGAAGAGAAAAAACAAAAGTGTAAAAATTCAGGATGAGGGATTCTGAGATACAGTGAACCCCAAGTTTCTCTTCAAAGAATCAGTACGTCGTATGTTCAGCTCTTATTCTTTAATTCTCCATTTTAAAGTTAACTTCCTTGTAGTTTCAGTAAACAACCTTTTCTAATCAGTTCTAATCAGTAGTTCACGTCTGTTTCCCTCCCCCATCCCAGGTCCCCTGCTCTGTCCTGACTCATCCTGGTCACCTGCTTTGACCCCCGGCTATCTGCTCTGACCTGCCCATAATCATCCTTCCTGCCAAACTACCCACTCTGTTAAAATAGCCAATCGGAATTAGACTAGACTGTGCGGTCTAACACTAGCCAATAGGGGAACGACACAGCAGTAGTGGTGACTCCATAAGGAGTAAGTACCCTTTCCCCTCCCTTGTCCAGGTGTTTGCTTGCCATTGTTCCATCTGTGAGCTGCACCCTTCTGTAGAAGTAAATTGCCTTGCTGAAGGAACTTTTTGTTTAAAATGTAGATTTTTCAATCACAAGAACCCAAAGGTCTGGAATGGGCTATCTTAGCAAAACAAAAAAAGTCTGTGTTCTGTAGCTAATTTTTTCCTGGACTCAAGCTCAGTGGGTTACTCCAACACAGGGAAGATCTGTGCTCTGTCACTTAGGCTCTGGGGCTGCAAAGGGCTGTCCCCATGCAGGGACTCTGAGCTTCGTGAATTCTTCTTTCCGCAAACCTTAAGAATAGAATACAGACCGGGCCATCTCAGCATGGATAGTCTGTGCTTGGTAACCTAATTCCTAAGGCTCTGGGTCTATGCTGAGCTATTTTAGCACAGGAAAGAGTTTACTGGGCTATCTCAGCACAGAAATCTGAATGCTAAAATCTTTACTCCCTAGTCTCAATGATCTGAACTGGGATATCTCAGCCTATGTTTATAGCCTCCTATTCTCTAAGCTAGCAGGATTGCGCTATC